GGGCTTCCCGGGGGCCTCTTGGGCGCCTCACGGGACTTCGTGGGAGCCTCTTGGTGGCCTCCGGGAGCCTGCAGGCGGCCTCTAGGGCCAGAGAACTCGAAATATCGGTGGCGGTCCCCCTCTGGGCCCTCCCTTGGGGAGCTCTTGGGGCACAGTTGGGTTGTCTGGGGAGCCTCCTGGGCCGTCTTGGGGCCCTCTTCGGGGCCTCGTGGCCCGTCTTGGAGCGATCTGAAGGGTCTCCGAGCGAGGCCGTGAGGGAGCGCTGGGAAGCGGGGAAAAGCGAGAACGCCTAAATCCTTCAAAAATCATCGGAAAAAATTGTGAATCTTGCCTCCCAGGGCCCTCTTGGGGAGCCTCTTGAGTCCGTCCTGGAGCGTGTTGGAGTCCTCGTCGGCTGTCTTGAGGGGCAGCTTGGGCGTCTTCGTCGGAGCCTCTTGGGACCGTCTAGGGCCCTCTCGGGACCTTCGTTAGCCTGTCGTGGCCTGCTTCGGGGCGGGCCCGGGCCGCCTCGGGACCCCTCTGGGCCTTCTCTTGGCGATCTCTTGGGGCACACTTGGGTTGTCTGGGGAGCATCCTGGGCCGTCTTGGGGCCCTCGTCGGGGCCTCGTGGGCCTTCTTGGAGCGATTTGAAAGGCCTCCGAGGCCGTGAGGGAGCGCTGGAAAGCGGGAAAAGCGAGAACGCCAAAATCCAAAACACTCGGAAAACGAGTGAATCTTGCCTTCCAGGGCCCTCTTGGGGGGCCTCTTGAGTCCGTCCTGGAGCGTGTTGGAGTCCTCGTCGGCTGTCTTGAGAGCATCTTGGGCGTCTTCGGGGCCTCGTGAGACCGTCTTGGGTCCTCTCGGGACCCCCTGAGCCTGTCGTGGCCTGCTTCGGGGCAGGCTCGGGCCGCCTCGGGAGCCCTGGACCCCCCCCCCGTAACCCCTGGTGGGCACCGATGGGGGGAACAGGCAGCGGCCCGCCCCCCCCCCCCAGGCCTACTCCGAGATAGAGAATCATACTGCCGGGAAGCTTTCCGGGAGCATGATTTGTTCGGCTCCCTAAGAGGGGGGCCTCTGGGGGCTTACTGAGGGGCGCCTTTTGGCCTTGTCGGCAAGCCTATTGGAAACATGGTTGGGGCGGTGGGCGGAAGCCCAAGGAATCATGTTCCCGGAAAGCTACCTGGGAAATACGAGTTACCGAATTGTCTTGGGCACCCGCAGGGGGCTTCCCTGGGGATCCCTTGGGGGTCTATTGGGGCTTCCGGGGGGCATCTTGGGAGCCTACAGGGGCTTCGTGGGAGCCTCTTGATGGCCTCCGGGGGCGTCCTATGAGCCTCTCAGGCCGGAGACCTCGAAATGTCGCACTCTTCGGGCCCTCTTGGGTCGTTCTTGGGGCTCTCTTGGGGCGCTCTCGAAGCCCTCTTGACTTATCTAGGGAGCCTCCTGGGCCGTCTCTGGGCTTTCTTGGGAGCCTCTTCGGCCGTCTTAGAGCGATCTGAAGGACCTCTGACGCGGTCTGGGACCGTGGGGAGGCGGAACATGGGAAGGCGCAAGAATGCTTCAAAAACCATTGGAAAATGGATGATGTTCGGCTTCTGGGGCCCTTTGGAGGGGCCTCTGGAGGCGCTCTTGGGGCGTTTTGGCGGCGTCGTCGGCCGTCCTAAGGCCATCTTCGGCGTGTCTGGAACCTCTGGGGGCTGTCTTTGGGCGTCCTCGGAAACGGGAAATCATGTTCCCGGAGAGGCTTCCGGGAACATGATTTCGAACGAGGCTCTCTTGGGCCTCCCTGAGGCCGTCTTGATGGCCTCCTGGGCTGGTTTCGGGGCCTTTTGGGCCGTCTTGGGGTGGTCCGTGGGCCCCACGGGACGACCCTTCTGGGCCGTATTGGGCCCTCTTGGGTCTCTTTTGGGCTGTCTTGGGGCTCCTCGGGGGCGTCTGGGGCACTCTGAAGACGAAGCAAGCGAGTATGCTGGAAATGTACGTCTTACGAGGAGAATGGGCCGATTTGTGCCTCTTGAAGGCCCTTGGGGCCCTCTTCGGTCATCTTGAAGCCATCTCGGGCCCTCCTGGGTCCTGGGTCTTGCTGAGGCTGTCTTGTGGGCGTCCTGGAAACCCAGAAATCATGTTCCTGGAGAGGCTTCTGGGAACATGATTTCGAACGAGGCCCTCTTAGGTCTCCATGAAGCCGTCCTGGGGGCCTCCTGGGCCGGTTTCGGGGCCTCTTGGGCCGTCTTGGGGGGTTCCGTGGGCCCCACGGGACGACCCTTCTGGGCCGTATTGGGCCCTCTTGGGTCTCTTTTGGGCTGTCTTGGGGCTCCTCGGGGGCGTCTGGGGCACTCTGAAGACGAAGCAAGCGAGTATGCTGGAAATGTGCGCTTTACGAAAGGAATGGGTCGATGTTTGCCTCTTGAAGGCCCTCTTGGGGCTTTCTTCGGCCATCTTGAAGCCATCTCGGGCCCTCTTGGGCCTCGCTGAGACTGTCTTGTGGGCCTCCTGGGCGTCCTGGGAGCCCTGAAATCATGATCCCGGAGAGGCTTCGGGGAACATGATGTCGAACGAGGCCCTCTTGGGCCTCCCTGAGGCCGTCTTGGGGGCCTCTTGGGCCGTCTTGGGGGGTTCCGTGAGCCCCACGGGACGATCTGTTTGGGCCGTCGGGAGGGGGGGGGGAGAATAAACAAGGCAGAGGCATGAAGGGAGCCCAAAAAGACGACGGCGGAGGACCCCACGACACGGCCGAGCCCACGACCGACAACGACGACGACGACGATGGCTGCAGTTACTCTGGCACACGCATGCTGCACGTTTCGTCTCGATACGCGTCGCCAGGGAATGCAAGGCCACAGTCAGCCATTCAGAGTGTTCGTGTGAGGCGTATGAGAGGCTCGTGAAAAGCTCCTGGGAAGCTCGCGAGAAGCTCCTGCGAGGGACCCAAGAGGTTCCTGCGAGGGCCCTGGGAGGCTCCTAAGAGAATCCTGAGAGGGTCCTGACGGGGTCCTGAGAGGCTCATGGGGGACCCTCGAAGGGACTCTTGAGAGGCTCTCGAAAAGCCACTCAGAAGCTCTTGATAAGCTCTCGGCAAGGTTGTGAAAGGTTCCTGAAGGCTCCTTAGAGACGCCTGAGAAGGTCCTGAGAGCGTCTGACAGGGTCCTGAGAGATGAGGCTCTTGAGAAGCTCCTGAGAGTGCCCGCAGAAGCTCCTGAGAAGCTCCAGCGAAGCTTTATCGAGGCACGTTAAATTATCTTGGAGGGCTTTGGGGAGGCTGTTTGGATGATCCCACGAGGCACCTGAGATGCTCATGGGAGGCTCCTGAGAGGCTCCTGAGAAGCTCCTGATTGGGAGCACTTTGCTGCATATTGCGGATGGCCAAAACGTGCATTGTGACATGTGTCTCGCTGATTCAGCACATCCACCGGCCCCCTCTGTGGGGCCACCAGGCTGCGCGGCTGAGTTGTCCTGTGCCCTGCACCAGTTCCAGTCTCCAGTTTCCAATGTTATACCTCTCCTGCCGCACTCCTACTGTGGAATTGCTGCTGTCCGCGCGAGCGGGGGGCCGAAACCCCGCCGTTTACCCTCTCACCTGGGGGTGTCTCAGAACTCCTGAGGGGGTCCAGGACAGGAAGAGGCCGCGCCAAGACGGCGCATCGGCAAATGATTCGGCAATTCGTAATGTACATTTGCGGTGGAGTGCATAAATACGGAAATGATCAGCTGCGCAGTGCCTCGGAGAGGTCGACCGGCTCACATTTGCGTGATTCCACACAGCGCATAATTGCTGGAAGGTGCCCTTCGTTTCCCCAAGCCGCCTTGTAAGTTCAGCGCGTGGATTCCCATCGGAACTTAGAAGCCCTCCCAGGGAGATTGCGTGCTCTTTGCATTGGATTTCTTCGCCTCCAGGCCCGCGTATGGCAGCGTCTGAACCAATCCTTATTAGAATGGTTTTCCTGCGTTCAATTCCAACATATCCTCTCCCACCGGTCGCCACGATATCCAGATGGCGTTGCAATGCGTCCGGCTGGTCCGCGAGAATCATCGTGTCGTCGGCGTACAATATGTCCCTGGTGACGAGATAGATGTTGCTGCACGTTTCGGCGTTCTTGTTCAGCTCGTTGTCCACGGACTCCATAAGAACAGACATGCGGATTATGAACAGATAGGGAGATAGAGGGCACCCTTGAGCAATGCCAGCCAGCATTTTGCGAACGTTGTGAGGATGTGTTTTGCCCTTCTCTTACAACAAATTTCCGCGCTCTGTAAATACCTTGAATCATATCAATCATAGCCTCATGGATGTGGAATTGACGTAGTGCGTGCAGCAGCCCATCGGGATTAATACGATCAAAAGCTTTGCTCCAATCTAACAATAAAATAAGCAGAACCCCATCCTTGTCTTCAAGTGTTGCGTCAAAAAGGCGGCGTGCCAAAAACAAAGCGTCGGGTGTGCCCCTCTTAGGTCGAAAACCGTATTGGGATTCTCGGAGTCGCTTATCAACGCCTGCAAATTTGAGGCGGTGCAAAATAATGCTTGCAAGCACTTTGTATCCAACTGCCAGTAAGGAAATAGGCCTGTAATTGCTGGGCTCTGAAGTTTCCCCCTTTTTTGAAAATCGTTACAATAGAAGCTTCCCGCCATGATTCAGGTATTTCCTTCTGATTCCAACAAGACGAACACAAATCACGTATTATTTCCAATGCCGCACTGTTTGACCATAAAGCTTGCCATAAATCTGGAGGTATTCCATCGTTCCCGGCTGCTTTACCGACTCGTAGAGATTTGACTGCGCGGCGTACTTCCTCCAGCGTGATATCTTCCGTATTGATGTTCAAAGTGGTGTTGATGTTTTCCCCTTGTGGAAAATTTCGGGCCCTTGGTCCGACGGCACTAAAACACATCCTGGATTCGCGCCTCTGGGGCCGGAATCCTGCGCAAATTATCCCACGTTCGCACTCCCGAGGCCAAAATCCTTCGTACGTTACGCCAGGTCCATGCTCCCAAGCCTAGACTCCTGCGTAAGTGTCACCAGGCTCGCACTCCCGAAGACAGAATCATTCCCGAAGACAGAATCATTCCCAAATTACGCCAGACTCGCGCTCCCGAACATCCTACCTCAATTGTGTTAAATCCGCGCTCCCAAGGCCAGAGTCCGTCGTAAACGTCGCCAGGCTCGCGCTCCGGACGCCAGACTTGCTTGTAGGTTACCCCAGGATCGCCCTCCCGAGGGCTGAGTCCTTTCTAAACGACTCCAGATTCGCGCTCCCGAAGCCAAATCCTCTCCTACACCAGATTCGCGCCTCCGCGGCCACAATCCCTCGCAGCTTGCGCGTGATTCGCGCTCCCGACGCCAGGATCCCTTGTAAATGACGTCACGATTACCAACCGCCCTCGCATGAGGTTCCGATATTGCTTCAAGTCGGCACCCTGGCATCCCAACACAGCTCTGGCATATCCCACGATGCTAGAAAGAAGGCGGGCGGCGGAGGGCGAAGCCCTTAAGGATAAATGTTCAAGCACCCACGGTTCGAGAACAATGTTGGACTGATGTTGGCATGGCCGCCCAAGACGTGTCTTCCTCAACGAAAACCCAAAACTATTTGGCAGCTTTTCACGGCAGATCGACGGCAGCTACCAGGGCTCCCCTGGAAAAGAGTCTGGATCTTTGTCTGGCACTACTCGAACCCTAAAGCGAGACGCTCATCAGGAACAACCGCACAATCACCGAAGTATCTGAACCACACCAAAATTGAAACTCCAAACCTGGCCGCCGCCACCAGCCTCCAAGGGCTTTGCATTAGGATTCGCACGCAGCCAAAGATCTCAGGAAAAACACATGCCCGAGGACGCGCGCGGGTAAAGACTCCTCCGAGGAGCGCCTCCAGTCGTTGAACGACGCGACCACGTCGCGCTCGCCGCGCATGACCCACTCCTGAGGAGGCAGGAGAACAAGCGAGAAAAGCAGGCGGCTGTACACGCCGAGGGGGGACGGAGGGAAAGACAGATGGAGGAGGGAAAGGAGGCAGAAAGAAGGACAAGGGAGGAGGGGAAGGAGGAGGGAGAGAGGGAGGGAGGGAGAGGGGGAGGCAGGTCGGTTGGTTGGTTGGACCCTTTCGGATCTCGTGTGAGGCCGCGGGCACGGCCCCTTTAGCGAGACTGTCAGGCAGAAGGCGCTCCCGAGGGACCCTATCCTGTCCCGGCCCCGGCCCCCGCAGGAGGACCAGAGAGGGGAGGAAGAGCTCAAGAGGGCCCCCACGACGGACAGCCACGCAGCGATCCTAGAGAGATCGCCTGCACGCGAGCCCTCGGGTCGGCCGCCGAAGAACGCGGATCCCGGCCGGCTCCTGAAGGCCCAGAGAGCGTCCCCAGCCCACCCCACACGGCATCAGGGGACACTCGAGCCAAATCCGCCTCGGGGTCCTGGCGCGCATCAGCGGCCTCCCAGGGCTACGTGGGCGATCGCAGCCAGGAACGCGGGGAGGGTGGGAGGGTCCAAGCGGGAGCCCGCAGTGCTCGACGCAAGGGGGCCCTGACCGGTCTTGGCTCGCCGCGTGGCAAAGCACGACGTGGGTGCCACCCTGTGCGAGGAACCAAGATCAGAGCCATCCCGAGGGTGGGCAGGGGGAGGGATCCCAGCCCAGCCACGCCCTACCCGACCCAGCCCAACCTTCCCACTCTGCCGAGATCGAGGTCGCCTGAGGGCGCACGTCGCTCCCCGAAACTCGGCACGCAGGAAAAAGCCACACCCACGCAAGACCTCCAGAGAGAAGGACAACCCTCCAGCCCGTGCCGCGACGCAAGGGCAGAAATCTCTCCGCGCCCCCGGAAAGCGGCCCGGAACTCGACGGAGCCGGAGGGAGGGAGGGAGGGAGGGAGGGAAAGAGGGAAGGGAGGGAGAGGTAAAATCCTGGCCCTGCCCAGCCGACACAAGCCATCCCGACCCGACTCGGCCGATATCGAGGTCGCCTGAGGGCGTGCGGCGCTCCTCGAGGCACGCGCGGAAAGCTCCGCGCCCACGCAACGCAACCCGAGAACAGAACTGCCCTCCGGCCCAGCCCGCGACGCGACAATCATCGCACCTCCCGCAAGCGACCCGGAAATCAACAGGTCGGGAGGGAGGGAGGGGAGGGAGGGAGAGAGAGAGAGAGGGATCCCAGCCTGGCCCAACCCGTCCCAGCCCAGCCCGACCCGACTCGGCCGATACAGAGGACGCCTGTGGGCACGCGTCGTTCGACGAAGCACGGGCGGAAAGCTCCGCGCCCATGCAGCACCACCCGAGAGAACGACAACCCTCCGACCCAGACCACGACGCGGGAGACACCATCTCGCGCCCCCGGGAGGCGACCTAGAAATCGACAGAGCGGGAGGGAGGGAGGGGAGGGAGAAGGAGAGACGGATCCCAGCCTGGCCCAACCCGTCCCAGCCCAGCCCGACCCGACTCGGCCGAGATCGAGGACACTTGTGGGCACGCGTCGCTCCACGAAGCGCGGGCGGAAAGCTCCGCACCCTCGCAAAACGACCCGAGAGAAAGACAACCAACCGACCCAGACCGCGACGCGGGAGACGCCATCTCGCGCCACTGGGAGGCGACCTGGAAATCGACAGAGCGGGAGGGAGGGAGGGAGGGAGGGGAGGGAAGGGGGAGTAATGATAGAGAGAGGGCTTGGGAAGAGAAGAGGAGGGCGCTCTAATCGCAGGTCGCCCATAAGACGTCTACACCGCGCTCCACCTCCGCGGCCAAGAGCAGCGCCTCAGCGTAGCCTGCCTGGCCCAGCTCGCAGCCCAGCAGGACGGCCGCACACTCCCGTGCTGAAGCAGCCTGCTGGACGCCGCGTGCCCGCCAGAACGCCGCTCGAGCGGACTCCGTGGCGGGGCAGGCCGACAGGAGGTGGAAGGTGAGGCTGGACTGCACAGCACCGCAGAGAACGCACGACCGCCTCCGGGCCCAGGATTGCCGCCCCTGCACGTGGCCCAGCGACAGGAAGCCGCCGCGCAGCCGCGCCAGGGAGCGCTGCGCCACGAGCGATTCCCAGCACAGGCCGGAGCCCAAGGCTCCTCGGATGTCATTGGACATCACTGGTCGCAGCTCTGTGTATGGCAGCGGAAGCACGTGCTGTGCAGCAGCGACCGTCCACGCTGCAAGGCACCTGGCGTCAACTCGGCACGGATGTCCGCCTTGTAGGCCTCCAGTGTGTCCCCGTCGCGGGAAAGTAACCACACGGGCCAGTCCAGCAGACCCCACTTGGTGATGAGATCCAAGGATGCCTGGGCCCACGTCTGGCCGACGTCCCCGTGCGCCAGGAGGAAAACCTCCCTGTACAGGTCCATGTCCAGAAGGGCCCACAGAGACGCGCGCCGGGCAGCTACCTCCACTGCAGCGGCACCCGCGCCGGACCGCACCCAGCCCAACTCGCCCATAGCTACTTGGCGATCGCGCCACGGCGGAAGGCCCAGCAGAAGCTGCGCCCACCGCTCCGGGGACGCGTCGTGCGCCGCGCCACTGGTCTCGTCGACCGCCCACAGCCACCGTCCGAAGCGGAGGCCACCTTCGATCTGCGCCTCGAAAATGGCCTCTGCGGCGGCCAGCGGGAGGTCGCGCCTGGCGACGAGGCCCGCGAGAGACGCCACCTGCGAGGACGCGGCGCCCAGACGCTGACCACGGAGGGAGGGAGGGAGGGAGGAAGAGAGGGAGAGAGGAGAAGGGAGAGGAGAAAGGAGAGGGGAGGAGAGAGAGAGAGAGAAATGATAACAAAAGAAGACAGGAAGGAGTAGGACGGGGAGCAGGACCCGGGAGGGAGGAGGGGGATGAGGGAGGACAAGAGAGGAGGCCGTGGAGGAAAAAGAGCAAGAACTGGAGTGGAGGAGGAAGAGGACGTGGGAGGAAGAAAAGAAGAAGGAAGAAGAGTAAGAAGGGCGGGATGGAAGAAGAAGGAAGGTGCAAGCGAAGGCGGAGGGAGAGCGTTGCTTTCTTCCCCGTTCGGGCTTCGACGGTAACAAGCCTTAGCGGATGCAAAGCAGAAGAAAGATGGAGGAGGAGGAAGAAGAGGAAAAGCAAGCGACGGCGGAGGAGGGATAGAGGATACATGGAGGGAAGGAGCGAGGGAGGAGGAGGAGGAGGACAAGGAGAAGGAGGGACTGCCCGAGAAAGGTGACGAGGAAGTGCGGCTTTCTTCCCCCGCTTGATTTTCGCCGGTAACGAGCCCGAGCGAAAGTACATCATACAACGACCCTGTGGCGTACCCAACCCCTTTGCATCCAGTGACCAGATTTGTCGGCCCACATTGCTGAAAACCGTGACAACGTCAGAACCGCCATCTGTTGTGCAAGCCACTTAGGATGGTGGCGCACTGCACGACTCACAGAACAGCAACAGAAGGACGAGGACAAAAGCCCCAGGCTCGAAGATGAAATGGGGGTGGGAACGAGGGACAAGAGAAGCACGCGCGGGGGAGCGAAAAGTCAGCGCGGCAGCAGCAAGGAGGAAGAGGGCGACAACGAAAGACTTGTTGCGTCGGCGGCTGGGCAAGGGACGTCTGCGCTGGCGATGGGATGCCTAAACGGGGATGCCGTTAGAGCGTATTGTGCCACCATGCAAGAGGAGGAGCGGGGGGAGGGCGCGGCCGAAAGAGGAGCGGACGGAGCAAGCGGCTCAGGGGGGACGGATCGCCACGGCAGCGAAAGGCACGGGATGAGGAAGGGGGGAGGCGATTACTTTCCCATGGCACGCTGGACAAGCAGCGCGGCCCGCACCATCAACAACAAACGCCGATGACAACAGCGATTATCCCTGGGTGTCTTTGGTATCTCATGACGCAGGAATTCGGGCGGAGGCACAGGTTGTACATGCGCCGAACAAGATAAACGGAACAACGTCCAGGTCCAAAAGACAACTGCGTCAAAGAATGCTCTGGAAGTCTCAGGCTGGCACCCAAGCGCTCCAACGCGCCCTGAGTGTATTCACGCTTCCTGCGATAGTACATTCAAGGGTCCGATTAGCTGGGTACTCCTCATCCTCCTCATCCTCTTCCACCTCCTTTTTCTTCTCCTCCTCCCCTAATACTCATCCTCATCATCAACAACATCATCAACAACAACATCAATATCATCATAATATCCAACATCATCATCATCATCACCACCACCACCACCACCACCATCATCATCATCATCATCAACATCATCATCATCACCACCAGCATCATCATCAATATCATCGTCATCGTCAGTATCACCAGCATCATCATCATTATCATCATCAGCATCAGCATCATGATCATCAGCATCAGCAGCAGCAGCATCATCATCATCATCGTCATCATCATCAGCATCATCATCATAATCATCATCAGCAGCATCATCATCAGCAGCATCATCAGCATCATCATAATAAACATCAAATCCCTCTCCCGCCATTCCTCGCGCAGGTCCGATATGCTCCGAGGCGGATAGGTGGAATACTGCGCAGATCTGAAAGACATCTGCGTCAAGGAATGCTCCAAGCATCCGGATGCACAGGCATTGCACGCTTCAACAAAGATGTATGGAAGAATGTGCAGGGCCGTAGAACAACTACGTCAACATATGTTCAAGGCGTCCACAAATGGCACCGGGTCGCTCTAATGCGCCCTGGGTAGGCTGGGTAGGTGGCTCCACGTGTGAGGGTCCGGCAGAACAGTAAACTTGAGGGTCCAATGAGCTATAGATTCCTCTTCCGCCTCCTGCTCTTCCTCCTCCTCCTCTACCGCCACTCCTCGCGCAGGTCTCATGTGCTCCGAACCAGATAGGTGGGGAAATGTGATGGACCGACGGACAACGGCGTCCTGGTTCCTCCTCCCAGCAGCCCTCGAACGTGGCGACCGTTTCGCAGGTCACAGCCCCTAGGGGGATGGCGAGGTCCAATCTGAATCTGCAACTGGTACCCACTTCGCTTGCTCCCCCAGCAGCCCTTCACAGTTCGCAGTCTCCCAGTGGTCGAGAGGTCTTATCTGCATCTGCGCATAGTACCCACTATGCTGGCCCCCCAAGCAGCACTCGATACTGGCGACTGCCCGTGGCCGGCGAGGTCGAATCTAAATCTGAACCTGATACCCACTGTGCTGGCCCCCCTAGCAGCCCTCGAACGTGGCGACCGTTTCGCAGGTCACAGCCCCCAGGGGGATGGCGAGGTCCAATATGAAGCTGCGCCTGGTACCCACTTTACTGGCTCCCCCAGCAGCAGTCGAAAGTGGGGACCGTTTCACAGCTCGCAGCCTCCAAGTGGTCGAGAGATCTAATCTGCATCTGCGCCTAGTACCCACTACGCTGGCCCCCCAAGCAGTCCCGGAAAGTGGTGACCGTTTCGCAGGTCGCAGCCCCCCACAGCCGGCGAGGTCGACTCTGCATCTGCACCTATTACCCACTGTGCTGACCCCCCCAGAAGCCCTCGAAAGTGGCGACCGTTTCGCAGGTCGCAGCCCCCAGGGGGATGGCGAGGTCCAATCTGAATCTGCGCCTGGTACCCACTTTGCTGGCTCCTCTAATCTGAATCTGCGCCTGGTACTCACTACGCCTGCACCCCAGGCAGCCCACGAAAAAGGCCACTCCTTCGTAGTTCCCTGCGGGCCTGCAGGCACAGCCACCATGCTACCATAAGAAGCGCGCAGTACAGAACGAAGGGGCGTTTCTAGCCACGGCGGGCCTCGGCCACCCACAGGTTCCACGACATGAACCTCGGGGACGGCCCGAAAACTTGAGCCCCTCCTGAACCCAAAACAATCATTATTCCAGCGACTCGACTGCAGGGCGGCAAGGCAGGAGGTTGGAGGCGGGCGAGGAGAGGAAGAGGGAAGAGGAGGGAGGCGAAGGGAGGCGGGAGAAGGAAGAGGCGTTGTGACCGTAGTGTTATTTTCACGAAGGGAAACCCAACGTAGTAGGGTTAGGGAAAAAAGAAAACGAGCCGAGGGTGAGGAAGAGGAGGCCGCAGCGGCGGAGGGAGAGATGGAGGGAGGGAGGGAGGGAGGGAGTAAAGAGGAGGAGGGGGGGGGAGGAGGAGGAGGAGGAGGAGGAGGAGGAGGAGGAGGAGGAGGAGGAGGAAGAGGAGGAGGAGGAGGAGGAGGAGGTGGGGGAGGACGACGACGAAGACGACAAGCGAGGACATGGGAAGAGCGAGAGGGATAGGGAGCAGGAGTAGCGAGGACGAGCAGGGAGGAGAAACAAAGACGGAGGGAGGAGCAGTAGTGTTGGCAGAGCAGGGAAGGATGCACAGCGAAAGAGAAAAAATATGCATCCAAGGTAGATAATCGCTACTACGCCCCCCCCCCCCCGAGCCTCTGACGCCTCAAGACGGTCCTAAGGTTGCCCAGCTGAGCTCCAAGAGAGGCCCACGAAAGCCGCAAGGCCATCCAAAGAGCGAGCAAAAACGCTAGAAAAACGCCCCCCCCCCACAAAAAAAAAGAGCCCCACGGGAGGCATTTTGGGACTTCCCGCGGGGGCGGGGGGAAGATAATCGAAAAGCCCCCATTTCGAGACATCAGCCCACATGTCGCCACAAGAAAACCCCACCCAACAACGTGCATAGGCTCATCACTTCGTCTGGGGGTCGGCGGAATGGCGCTAGCCTCTCGAATCCACGTCCGGAGGTGACGTGCTGAGCGGCAGCGTTTTTCGGCGAACGCCTCAATGCAACGTAACCAATGTATCCATTGATTGCACAATTGCCACGTAGTGCATTGAGTTACATTATTACGTCTCCCCCCCTAACCCCCCTGGGAGCCGCGCCACAGGAACGGACCAAAATGATCGGCCCTCCTTCTGGGGCCCCATACCTACAAAAACCTATGGAAAATCAACAAGTTCGGCCTCTTGGGCCTCTGGAGACTCCACGAGGGCCTCATTATGGCCCAAGATGGCCCCAAGACGGCCCCAAGACAGCCCAAGATATTCCCAACGGGGGCCCATGAGGGCCCCAAGACGGCCCCGGGAGGGCCTCGAAAGCCCCAAAAGCCCCAAGGACGGCCCAAAAGGGCCCCCAAGAGCGCCCACAACTGCGCCTCCAGAGGCCGAAATCATTGATTTCCCCATGGCTTCTGCAATGTTTTAGCGTTCTCGCCTGTTTCGAATCTCAAAAATCCATTACGGCCCAAGCAGCTTCCAGAATCGCCCCAGAACAACCCCCCAAAAAAACCCAAGAGGGCCCAAAGACGGTCCCAGTCCCAAAACGGCCCAAAGAGGCCCCCAAAACGGTCCAAGAGGCCGCGAAGACGGCCCAAGAGGACCCCAAGAGGGCTCCAATGCGGCCGCGAGAGCCCCCAAGACACCCTCCGAGAGGGCGAAACGGCACAAAAGCGCCCCAAGACGGCCCAAGACGCCCCCAAGAGGCTCCAAGAGGCCCCCAAGAAGCCTCCAAGAAGTCCCCCAGAAGCCTCCAAGAGGCCCCCAAAAAGCCCCCCAAAGCCCACATAGCGACTGGGGCGTAATGTTATTTCCCCCCCTCTGGGCGAACTGCGGCGCAGCGCCAGCCAGGTGGAAGTTGGTCACTGCGGCGCCCATGATTAGCGCCGGCGCTGGAAGGGAAGATGGGAAGGGTGTATGAAAAGGGGGGAGGGGGGAAAGGCCCCAAAGAAGTCCCCAAGAGGCCAAAAGAAACTCCCAGGAGGCCTCCAGGAGGCGCCCAAGAGGCTCCCGAGAGGCCCCGCGACGACGTGACTGTACGTGCTCCGGACGTGCACCCCGCGAAGCGAGAGGAATCACGACCATAGCCCTAGACAGCACCTCTCTACGGCATTTCTCGAGTCGGATCGATCTGTGGGGGTTCCTGGGGCTCACAACTGGGCTAAAACGCCCAGTGTGAGAACACCGCGACGCCCGGATTTCATGGTCGCGCGTACCATCTGCAAAATGCAAGCTAAATGAGCCGACGTGTGCCAAAGACGAGGCACGCGGCCACACTCATGCCGCACGGCGTCAGCTCCGCACTCATGCCACACTTGCGAGCAATGTACTCAATTGGGTAGAAACGGTCAACGCGGGCTGCATGCATCCAGCAACCAGCCACAAACATGCATCGGCAGTCGTGTGCTGCCCCCGGGAACTCCTTGACTTACCCAGAAAAACTGAATGTATACTAAAAATCGCCCACGGTCAACGAGAAGCTTACTCCGCCCATCCGACGTGTGAATTCCAAAAGAAGCTGAGCATCATCTGTGCTGCTTCATGGTTAAATACCGGGGTGGGGCGCGGATCGGCGGCGGCGGCGGGGGGTGGACAAGCGCGGGCGGCGGCGGGCGCGTGCCCCGCCACGCGCGCTCCTCGAGGACGGAGGAGGTGGCCTGCTGGACTTCCACCTGGGGATCCACCGTACCCTCCACCGCCACGTCCTCCTACTCCTCGTCTGGCAGGTCGCCGTCGCCTTCGCCGCAGACGGCAGCGCCTTCGTTGTGGAGGTCCCCCTGGGCTTCCAGAGGTTGTCGTCCACATGGCAGACGGGGGCCGTGATTTCAACGGATGTTGTACATCCTCCTCCTCCTCCTCCTCCTCCTCCTCCTCCTCATCCTCCTCCTCCTCCTCCTCCTCCTCCTCCCCCTCGTCCTCCCACCACCGCCATCAGCATCAGCATCAGCACCAACACCAGCAGCATCAGCATAATCATCATCATCATCATCATCATCATCATCATCATCATCATCATCATCATCATCATCATCATCATCATCATCATCATCATCAGCATCATCATCATCATCACCATCGTCATCATCATGATCATCATCATGATCATCGCCAACATAATCCTCATCAACATCGCAACCTCCACCATCATCATTATGATCAGCATGATCATAACCATCACCGTCAGCATCATCATCATCACCATCCCCATCATCATCCTCAACACCCTCATATCATTCCTATCCTGATCACGGCTCGCCGAAGCCTGGGGGTACGATGTGTTCCATGTGACGGTATTCCTCCTCCTCCTCGTCTTCCGTCTTCCTCCTTCTCCCTGATCCTCCCCCTTGTCGTTATCATCACGGCCACAACCAATACTAACATCATCCTCACCAACATCCTCCTCACCAACATCCTCATCATCATCATCAGCCGCCTCCTCATCATCATCCTCCCCATTAGAGACATCCCTTCGTCGTCAGAATACTCATCTTCATCACGGGTCTACCATACCTTGGGATTCGAGGTGACACCCGTAACGGCCATTATCTTCCTCCTCCTCCTCCTCTTGCTCCTCCTGCTCCTCGCCATCCTCATCATCACCACAGCCAGGAGAAAGCCTCGAGCGAGAGCGCGGCTCCTGAATATAACGAAATGAAAAAGAAGAACGCGGTTCCTTAGCAAATCGCACAGAAATCTCGAGCGAGAGCTCGATTCCGACGTAAACCGCGAGGAAGTCTCGTTGCGAGGAAATCTAGCGAGAGCGCGATTCCTCAACACATCAGTAGGGGATCTGGAGCAAGAGCGCGATTCCTGAACACATCGCGAGGAAGTCTCGAGCGAGAGCGCGATTCGTGGCTAAACCGCAAGGAAATCTCGAGCGAGAGCTCGTTTCCCAGGTAAATCGCGATGAAGTCTCCAACGAGAGCGCGATTCCTGAGTACACCGCGAAAAAATAGAGCGCTCGAGCGAGAGCGCGCCTCCTGAGTAAATCGCGGGGAATTCTCAAGCGAGAGCGCGATTCCTGAGTAAATCGCGGGGACGTTTCGTGCGAGAGCGCGATTCCTGAATACATCGCAAGGAAGTCTCGAGCGAGAGCGATCGAGCGAGAGAGCGATGTTGAAGTGAATCGCGAGGAAGTCTCGAGCGAGAGCGCAATTCGCGCCTAAATCGCGAGGACGTCTCGAGCGAGAGCGCGATTGCTGTGCAAATCGCGAGGGAAGTCTAGAGCGAGAGCGCTCGACGTTGTTGATGTTGTTGTTGTTGCTGCTGTTGTTGTTGCTGCTGCTGCTGAACTCTCACTATGTGCTAAAAACAAATATTGTTGATCCCCCCTCTGGTGCACATTGTATTTTTCAACTGAAGTGCCCCTCCCAACGCCCGCACCCGATTGTTTATTAGGAAAACGACTCCTGCTCAAACTGTGTTGGCCCCCGGTTTAAAACAACAACGGCTCCCGCCTGAGACCTCCTCATAATTTAGCCAGGACCCCCGCTCCCGTCTGAGACTTCCTCGCAATGTATTCAAGAATCACGCTCTCGCTTGGGACTTTCTTACATGTATTCAAGAATCGCTCTCTCGGCGCTGTGGAGTCGCGCTCTCGCTGGACACCTGCGTGTAATTTACTTAAGAATAGCGCCCTTGCGAAGAAATTTCCCGCAATTTACTCAAGCGCCGCGCTCCCGACACTCAGGCACCCAGGAGTTGCGCTCACGCTTAGGACTCCCGCAACGAATAGTTAGGAATCGGGAGCTCGCTGCCCTTCGTGGCCCCGTTGCAACCCTTCGTACCCCCCTCGCTGCCCTTCGTGGCCTCGTTGCGGCCCTTCGTAACCCCATCACTGCCCTTCAAAACCCCATTACAGCCCTTCATAACCCCCTCGCTACCCTTCGTGACCCCGTTACAGCCCTTCGCGGCCCCCTCGCTGCCCTTCGTGGCACCGTTGCAACTCTTCGTGGCCCCCTCGGGGCCCTTCGTGGCCCCGTTGCATCCCTTCGTGGTTCCCTCAATGTCCTTCGTGGCCCCGTTGCAGCCCTTCGCGGCCCCCTCGCTGCCCGTCGTGGCCCCGTCGCAACCCCTCGCGGCCCCCTCAATGCCCTTCGCGGCCCCGTTGTAGCCCTTCGCGGCCCCCTCGCTGCCCTTCGCGGCCCCGTTGCAGCCCTTCGAGGCCACCTCGCTTCCCTGCGTGGCCCCATATACGCATGCCCTTCGTGGCCCCCGCTCGTTCGCGCCTTCCGTGGCCCCATATGCGCGCCCTTCGCGGCCCCGCCGTCGCCTTTCGCGGTCCCCTCGCTGCCCTTCGTGGCCCCGTCAGCGCCCTCAGTGGCCCCGTCCTTCCCCTCCGCGGCCCGATATACGCATGCCCTCCGTGGCCCCCGCTCGTTCGCGCCCGTCGCGGCCCCATGCGCATGCCCTTCGTGGCCCCACTGTCGCCCTGTGTGGCCCCCATCGCTGTCCTACGTGGCCCAGTTGCTGCCCTCACTGGCCCCGTCGTTGCCTTCTGTGGCCCCGCACTATCTGCCCTTCGTGGCCCCCGCTCGTTCGCGCTCTTCGTGGCCCCATACGCATTCCCTTCGTGTCCCCGCTGTCGCCCTTCGTGACCTACTTCGTGCCCTTCGTGGCCCTGCTGTCGTTCTCTCGCTCGCTCTCGCTTTCGCTCGTTGTCGGCGTCGTCGTCGCCGTCGTCGTCGTCGACGTCGTCGTCGTCGTGGTCGATCCCCTGTCCGTCCCTCTTGGGGTCGGGTTGCCGCTAGTCAGCGCTGCCCGTGGCCGGGCCGACGGTCCGCGGCCGCCCCGCCGCTTCCGGGGCCCGGCCTGCAGGGAAAAAAGGTATACCCCCAAAAGGGGCACGATCGAAGACGAAGAGGGCGGGCATCGAGGGTTTGGGAAATACGCGTTAACGGACACTCGAACAGATAAGAGCGAACAGTACTAAAATGATTGTTGTTGGTGGTATTGTGTTTGTTGTGGCTGCTGTTGGTGTTGGTGCTGTTGTAGTTGTGGTTGTGGTTGTGATTGTGATTGCTGTCGGTGTTGTTGTCATTGGTGTTGGTGTTGTTGTTGCTGTTGCTTGGGGGGCAGCCAGGGAAGCGTGGCCCCTCCCTATCCGACAACAACAACGCCAACGACAACGACAACGACGACGACGACAGCGACAACAAAAAGCATCAACAACAAAAAACAGCAGCGGCAACAACAACAACGGCAACGATAACAGCCACAACCAAAACCACAACCAGCGACTACAACATCAATTACAACAGAAACAAGAACAATAACAACAACAACTACAACAATTACAACAACAACAACAACAACAACAACAACAACAACAACAACAACAACAACAACAACAACAACAACAACAACAACATCAACATCAACCACAACCACAATCACTACAACAACAACAAACCAATAATAACAACAACAACAACAGCAACAACAATCACAACGTCAAAAGCAGCAGCAGCAGCAGCAGGAGCACCCCATCCCCCACCATTCGGGGAGTGCCAGGGGTCCGGGCCCCCCTCCGGAGAAAGGCGGCGGAGGGGGGGGGGGGGGGCCGCGCGCGCGCTGCGCCCACGCCCCAGGCCACGTAACAGGTCGCCCACGGCGGGTTCAGCGCCATCTCGGGGGCCGCCTCCGCGATGTAGCCGCCTGACCGAGCCCGCGGCTCGAGGTCGGAGAACCTGGCGTCCCTTGCGCCGCGCAGCGCGTTCGCGAGTACCCTCGGCGGTGCGATGGCGGTCGCCGTCGCCGCTGCCGCTGCTGCCGCCTTCGCCTTCGCCGCCACCGCCGCCGAGGCTCGAGGGGCGAGGGTTGGAGGTCTTGAGGGTCGAGGGTCGAGAGAACGAGAGGTCGAAGGAGCGAGGCCTGGCCAGGGCCATCTCTGGGCCCCGGCACGGCGTCGACGCCATCCACCCCGAGACCAGGAGGGTCCGCGCGCCGTCCCAGCGCCCAGAATGGCCCAGGCGAGGCATGGTGATGGATAGGCGCCTTGTGCGGACCCTGGCGGCTGAACAGAATCGCCCCCAGATCTATTCAGCAGTTCTCGCCAATCAGAAAGGTTTCTCGTCCATGGGGCCGTCCGACAAGGGCCCAGAGTCGCGAGAGGTCCGCGGACCAGCGACTCAACAAAAACAAGTCGCCGAAGCGGGGAGGGAAACGTTGAGACGGGACGGCGGGCAGGGGAGACTGAAGGGGAAGACGGGGGAGAGGAAGGAAAAGATGGATGGGGAAAAGAAGAAGGAGAGGAGGGGGGAGAGGATGATGGAGAGGCAGGAGGGGAGAGAGAGAGGAGGAGGAGGAGGAGGAGGCGGAGGGCGGAGGAGGGAGGAGGAGAGAGAAGGGGGGGGGGAGGGGGAGCGAGAGGGAAAGGTGTAGGGCGAGGGGCAGAGGGAGCGAGAGGGAGAGGGGAAGGTCGGAAGCACGCTGACGCGAGGTCAAGGTACCTGGGTCATCCAGACCCGAGCCTACCAGTCTACACGTGGTCAAGAGGTTGGAGTGGGAGTAGCGGCGCTTGTTGGGGCCACGGGGCGACGTCCCCAGGGCCCTTGAAAGCATGGGCGAGACCAGGGAAGCGAAACTTGACAGCTGGCCCGCTCCAAGGCAGAGCAGACAGCACAACAGCACGAAGACTGCAGCAAGCAAAGCCCTTGTGGGCCGAACACCCAGCGCTTGGGATGCGAAACTTCAACTTCTGTGGTGCCAGTCACCGCGCTCGGGAGGCGGGAGCTGGCCTGGGTCCGACGCCAGCCGCGCCGCACACTCTGCGTCCTTGGCCCTGCCTGAGGCGGGGGATGCGGGAAAGGCGTCCCCCTCCAGGCGAAACCCCAGCGGACCCAGCCAGCCCACGGAGCGTCCAAGAGACGCCCACTGGCGCCCACCAGGCGAAACCCCAGAGGACCCCGCCAGCGCACGGGGCGCCCACGAGGCGCCCACGGGCGCCCTGCCCCATCCCTCCCCCCTCCCTCAGCACGAGAGCAGCCGGCCAGACCACCCCTGAGGGACTAGAGGCACCCGCCGGGATCGATCCCGGCCCCGAGAGACACGAGCGCTGAAGGATCGGAGTGAAGCACGTCATCTCCACAGGCCCATGCGACCCGGGCAGTCAACGCAATCGAGCATCATGATACTTCTAGGTCGGCGGGGACGAAGACGCTCCGAAGCGATGGCGCACATGGGCTGCGTTTGCGCTCATTGCGCTAATTGCGCTTATTACTGGACGGGAGCTGGTAGCAAGAGGACAGGGTGGGAGCCGGACACTGTGATGAATGGGACACAGCCCAAAACGCGTACGCCATTGGACAGTAGCTGCAAGCGACCCGAAAGAAGCCGTGGGATCAGACACTGCATACGCATAGGGAGGTGCGCGTGACAGCGCACATTAGAAAATCACAATAAGTAGCAACGCGACAGAAGAGCCCCTTCGTGGGGCTGGCGACACCTGCGGGCACGGGGGGCGCTGGCATGGAGACACCTGTACACACAACATCTGGGAATGTAAACCCAACACGCGAGATTGAAATCCTGTGACCTCGACCACAATGCTTGCCGCAACGGCCTGGGAAGGGCCAAGAACCCCGTCGCACGCACGGCCCTCCAGCGAATGAACGGCCACATCCTGGGTCGCCACGCGAGTGGCTAAAAAAACAAAAACACATATATGTATACGAACACACACACAACGAACAACCCAAAGCACAATGACACGTAACCTACAAAATCCGCCGGCCCCCTTGTGGGGCCACCAGGCTGTAGGACGAGGACTTGCTGTTCCCTGCACCAGTTCCAGTTTCCAGTTTCCACTGTTACTGTATTGCTTTATGCTGTTTACTGTTCCTTGATGTAGAACGCGCGAGGAGCGGAGCCGAAAATCAGCCTGCTCAGCGTCTCCTGGGAGGGGTCTCGGAAGTTCTGGGGGGGTCCGTGGGACACATCAAAATACTTGAAATTCCCACCCCCGAGGCCTTAAACCCTCGTAAATTATGCAATGTTCGCGTCCCCGAGGCCATAACCCGTGCAAAATACGCCGTATTCGTGTCCCCGAAGCCATAAACCCTTGTAAAGTATGCAATACTTGCGTACCCGAGGCCGCAAAGGCTTGTAAATTACACAAGATTCGCGTCCCCGAAACCATAAACCTTTTATAAATTATACCATATTCGCGCCCCCAAGGCCATACACCCGCGCGAATTACACAATATCTGCGGCCCCGAAGCCATAAACCTTCGTAAATTACCTGATAGTCGCGTGTCCGAAGCCTTAAACCTTGTTAAATGATACCATACTCGCGTCTCCGAAGACATAAACCTGTGTAAATTACGCTATGCTTGCGGCCCGAAGCCATAAACCCTCGTAAATTACGCGCTATTCGCGTATCCGAAGCCATAAACCCTCGAAATACTACACCGAATTCAACATTCTCATCAGAATCTCAATTTGTCTTGCCGATTACTCATCGTCCTCGCGCGAAGTCCCGACGCTGCTTCGCGGCGGCGCCAAGGCCTCATGATTTCGCTTTTGCATTGCCCATTATCCAAGAAAGGGGGCCGGCGGCAGGGGGCGAAGCCCTTACGGATATTCAAAATAATAAAACAACTGTCCCCATACGATGTTTTGACTATTTTTGAATACTCCTCCTGTAAAGGGACGGGCCCATTACCCCCCAAAGATCGCCCTGAAAACGCCCAAGAACCCTCCAAGATGGCCCCAAAAAGGCCCAGGAGACCCCCAAGACGGCCCCAAGAGGGCCCCAACACGGCCCAAGAGGCCTACAAGACGCCCAGATGACCTCCAAGATGGCCCTGGAGCACCCCAGGAAGGCACCAAGTCGGCCCAGAGAGGCCCCCAAGACGGCTTCCGACGGCGCCAGACCGGCCAGGAGCCCACCAAGACGGCCAACGATGCCCCCGAAAACCCCCCAAGAGGCTCCCAAGAGGCCCAAGGAGGCCCCCAAGATGCCTCCAAGAGGCTCCCAGGAAGCTCCTCGGAGGCCCCAAGAGTGTTCCCAGAGGCTCCCAAGATGCCCCCTCCTCCTCCTCCTCCTCCTCCTCCCTCCTCCTCCTCCTCCTCCTCCTCCTCCTCCTCCTCCTCCTCCTCCTCCTCCCCCACCTCCTCCCCCACCTCCTCCGTTTCCTCTTCCTCCTGATATTCCCCGCCATCCTCCCTCAACTGTTCCCCGAAGGATTTCCACAACAGTTGGGGAAACACATGGCCCGATAGCTTGGCAGAGTTCTTTCCACAACGCTCGGCCACATGGGCGATTCTAGAAGGCAGGAGGCGGCGCTGATTCGCCCTAGGCGTCTTCGACAACGTCTCAATCTGCGCTGATGATTCCGATCCGCTCCCGCAAGATGTTCCCAGATGAGCCAAGGCAGCGCCGAGACGCACCGACGCGACTTCGATTTCATCCAACTATGATAGAGAGGGGGCCGGCGGCAGGGAGGGGGCGAAGCCTTTAAGGATAATGGTAATGGACAAACTATGAAAATCGTCGTATTAGCCAGGGTGGACCCCAATCAGTAAATGATTGTACTGTGGATGTGCAAGCTATGTGGTGTAAGCAAAGTATGTGGTGGAAGACAGGTGATGCCAGCTGGAGGCAACAACCAGGCGGCAACGAGCGGCAACGTGGCGAAACCTCGCCAGACCCGCCCAGCGCATCAGGCGGGGCAACGAGGCAGCAACAGGCGGCAACGCGGCGAAACCTCGCAGGACCCGCCCAGCGCACGAGGCGGCAAGACGGTGGCCACGGGCGGCAACGTGGCGAACTCTCGCCAGACCCACCCAGCGCACAAGGCGGCCACGAGATGACGGGTGAAAATCAATACAACTCCCGGAAGACGTAAGTTAGAACCCCTCAGTGCAAGCACCGTGCGGGGGCAAGCCGATGTTAAACAACAAAACTTGCGGAGAGGCCACAGCCACCGCAACGCAGGCATCAAGGCAGGCTGCTCCACACCTCCTGCTCGGCAAGAGCTCCTCGCACTAGCCGGCAGCGACTGACGAAGGCCCAGGTCGTCACCGCCGAGGGCAGCATCCAACGGCAGCGCCGTGGCAAGCCGAGCAAGGGTGGCGAGGCGACTAGAAAGAGGCCCGAACCCCACGCTGCCTCTACGGCCAAATCACCCTGCCCGTAACAGACCGGCGCGGCGGGTGGACTGGGTTGGGAAGCCTCGTCCGAATTCGCAGAGAGGGAAGGGAACGAGGGACAACGACGACGAGCGTGTAGAGAGATGGTGCTCTTGGCTGCTCCCTGGGTGAGCCTGCGTGTGTTCGGACAGGCTCGATTCGTCATGCTGTTTGGCTGTTCGGATGCTCGAGGATTATCGTGTGCACGTGTTGCTTTGCTGGGCGTGGCCATGCTGCGGTACGGGGAACGGCTGGTACACATCATTCCTTGTTCGGGCAATGCTCGTATTGGTCGTCTTCTGGTTATGCGCGTATTGCTTTCTTCTTGCGAACGCACGCAGAAGTCAACGCCACGCCCACAGTACTCGAGGAAGTGAAGCAGATGATCGATGATGGAGGCCACCACCAACCCACAGAGTAAAACTAGTAAGAGGCACCTGAAACATCGGGAGTACCCTCAGTGGCGTGTCGTGACGATTGCCGTCCACGTGTATCGCTATTTGCTGGTGGCATTAAGGTCTAGCTCGTCGCGCTCCTGATGCCAGTCAGGGAGGGTATTGGCTTCATTTAGCAGCGCTTCGCGGTCGGCCCTATC